CCCCCACACACTCCACTCGCCCCCCACGCTTTTGTAAATGCGACGACTAATGGGACAAGAGGCAATTTCGGCATGGTGGCCTCTCCCTGTGTGAGATTACCAGCAGCGTAACGGGCTGGGGAACAGACTTGGGCCTCTTTCCCCCCCCGGCAGCACGTGGGCACACAGGCAGGACTGCATGCGACCCGGTGACTGATGGCATCCCCTACGGTATCCGTGAGAGTCCCCGAGTCTTTGTCCCTGCCCTTGGCGTTTGTCAGCCGAGAGCGATGTCCTCCCGTCTCAACGGGGACAGCAAGCCTCACCTCTCCGTCCCTGAAACTCATTACCTGCCACTATGTCACAAACAACCCCCGCCAAAAAATACAACCCTAAAAATGGAAACAAAAAATATCACCTACGACGAGTGAGTAAATTTATGAATGGCGGGTGTCCATGTTGCAGAAATTAAGACATGGAATCTGCAAGTGCCATCGCAATTTCTGGACTCTGTATGCCGTGAAGGTCTTTGGAAAGCTCTGCTCCCCTTTGGGTTAAAACATCCGACAGGGAGATGGAGAGACGATGTATACTAGTGTCCGTCCCTAATTCATACTTGTAGTGCGAAGTCCGAGCCACCCAAAAACAGCCTGACACGTCTATTGGTGTAAAATGCCTGGCATTCCGCGAAGCGGTTAGAATTACGAGCTGCTCACTACGCTACAATCTCCAAGGAGCTTAACTACAGATGTTTGCAGGCCCGCTGCAAAGAGCCCACTGATCACGATCATTTTTGTTTTCTTGTGTCGTTCCCGGTCTGACGCGCTTTAGTCTGAGTTTATGGGCTGTTCGCTTCAATTCTGCCGCCCTTCATCGGAGTCGAGGTCTGGAGCCTGGAGCAGCCTTCGCAATAGATGCCAATTTAGCGCTCAATTAAGCACGTCTCTGTGAATTTGCATGTGTGCTTAGTAGTAGTTTATGACGCGTCTGAGTTTTATTCCTGCCACATGTCCTCCTTAGGGCTTATTGCCTGCCTTTGGTATCCAGACTCTATCTGGTGGGGTTATGGTTTCTGTCAATAAAAGCTTTTCTCAGGGGAAAATCCTCTGGCTTGGATTTGGAATCTAATTGCCGATTTTGCAGTTCTGTAGCCCACCGTGGCTCCTGCCATCACCCATCACTGTGCACACTTTAATGCTATCCCCATTGTTCACATGTTGTTGTTTACCGGCGATAAGTGATATGAGTTTTTTTTTTTCTTACCAAATGGTTGATTTATCAAGCTCTCATTCCATTTGTCTCTCTTCATTTACGAATGCCCTGTCCTTCCCCTTCGGAGATAAAGGGTGATGGATGATAAATTCATCTTCTGGGGTGTGTCTGTGCGTGTGAGGTGTGGCGGGGGGGGAGGATGGGTGTTACCTCATTATAATACCCCAGGACAAGAAAGAACACCACCATATAGTTCCGTAAAATTGTAATGAAGGTAAAAAATTATTATATTGATATATTGAGTAAATTTAGTTTTTATAAGATTGTGCCATTTTTTCCACTCATCTTTTCATATCAATGAAATGCTTTTCTTAAGACACATTTTTCGCTTAGACACAAGAATATATTTTTCCAATATTTCTGACAAAATTTTCTGCCCTGTACCTGCCTAGATTTTTGGTCATTCCCAGCGTCTTCTGTTTCACACTGTTCTTGTGTACTGCAGTCTTAGACATTTTGAGCCTGGAAGCAACTTGCCGCTCTATCTAGCCTTCTGTCAGCAGGATTAAATCAGGATTTTAATATGTAAATTCGTAAAAAAAAAACATGGAGTGGTCTCTCCATTTATTCCAAAGCTGAAGTTTTCCCGTATATCTGACAAAATGTTCCTTAAGGGTGGCAGTAATTTCAGGACACCATCTATGCACCAGACTTACTAGTTTTCTGTCATGTTCCTGTGAAAATAAGCATTGCACTCATCCATTATCCATTGTTTTAGCCAATCAGATGCTTGGACACACCCCTAAATATGCACACCATTATACCTAAATACAGCCACCTGTTAACGCTCTAAAAGGCAGCAGTTTAATTACCCCAGACTTGCTAAACACATTAAAGTGCACATAAAGTTGGGGGCGTGATAATTAACCCTGCAGAACGTCCCCATGCACTCATTCCCTAGTCTGATTATAGCTGTCCCTTCCATGCGTCGGGACTGCAACAAAATCACAGCGGGAACGAATCAGGATCGTTTGGGGTTTTCAGAGGGGCTCCAGTGGTAATTAAATATGTAATTGGTTTGATGGGACTCTGGAAATAGCTTTAATTTCTTAAGACCTGAAGAGACAGGCAGTTGTTTGGGGTTAAATGACAGGGTCAGTCATCCTTCTTATTTTCAAACATTTTTTACATCACCAGAGGGCGCCACTGCTTTTTACCCTGATGCTAGTAGGTCCCATTGGATCCGTTAAATCAAACAGGGCTGCCACACCCCGGATGAGCTGTTCTGTAATGCCCCCCCACAGAAAAATGGCAGACAGAACTGATCTGGTCAGTTCACCCATCCAGGCAGAATCGACCCAAAGCACCCTGATTGATTGTCTCCATGGACAAGAAGCAAACTGCTGACTCATCAGACAGAATCACTGTGAAATCCTCTGCCTGGTCATGTGACATTACACTGTTGCCAAAGACTTGATCAAAAGAAGCTGAAAATGCTCTTTTTATTTTAATTAAAGGTTGCCATGCAACCTGATGAACTGTGTGGTGTAGTTTTTCTGCAGACTGATGCGCAGGAACTGCCTGGGTTAAGGGTGTCAAGTGTAGAAATAAACACTCAAATTAAATGCAAACGCGTAGGAGGAGGCTAGAATCTCACAGCTGTAAGGAGGAGCATAAACCGCATCGACAAAAGAGTCTGCAGGACCCAAGACTCAAGTGAGCTAAGTGGTTGCTTGGAGTCCAGTGGCCACCAGGGGGCCTCCATCTGATCAGCCTGTCAGAATTGGGAGGAAGATCACAGAAGACAACTAGGTTAGTCACATATGGCTTAGGGCTAGATAGTTTGATGAAAGTGTTTATCATGGCCGGTGGGTCCAAGCAGCGCTTGACAAATGCCTCTGGCACAGGGTGGTGTTTAGGGGGTCAAGCCGGCTGTGGGAGGTTGGATCCAGCAAGCCAGGACCAGCGAAACAAGGACCTTCTAGACACAACGATCAGGGAACGTGCCGTCTCCAAAAGGACAGCTGGATAGATTTCCTCAAAGCGGACAGGTAAGAACCAGGGATTGCCGCTCTTCCAGTGAATGGCAGACATCGTGTCGGCAGACGAAAATATGTACATGTAGACGGAAAACGGGGAGCATCAACTTAAGAGCCCGGCGGTCTTATCCGGAATATGTCAGGAGCCGGAGGCCACGGCTGTTCTCCCCTGATAAGGCCGTCCCTGCACTGCTTCTGCCGTGATGCCACTGTGGGACGGGGGGGTGTCGGGTCCTAAGCCCCCCCAGTTATTAACTGTGATGTCAGCTCTGACTTTCATTTCTTTAATAAAGTACTTTCTATCACCCTATTTATTTATTTTTAGAGGCATGATATGCTCTCAGCGGCCTGTAGGACGGCGCCGTTCTCCCTGGGCCTCTTTCAGGGGTATCTGGGGCATCTCTCCCACTGAGTCTTTTTATCACCACTCCATGTCAATCACTGGAGTCCTACCTGACAGCCACCTCCCCCCACCACCCCCTAGCCACACGTCAAACTGCTCCTGCCTGCGGCTTACATTTTGGCATGTAGCTCTGTACTCCCCCCAATGGGAAATAACCCAAAAAACCAAGTTCAAACACCCATATCCTCTGATCTCCGGCCCCCCCCCCCCCCCCCCCCCCCCCCCCCCCCCCCCCCCCCCCCCCCCCCCCCCCCCCCCACCACTGCTCGCACGGCTAACTCTGCCCCCCTCCCAACCAGATCCCTGCTAAATGATCAAAGGCTCAACTTTTTTGTCGATTTTCTCCTCCGGGGACGGCAGAGAGTGAACTGGTCCGAACCGGACAGCCATAGACGGGGGCTTGCGTTTCTTATGGAGGAAAACTAAGGAGAGGATGTGGAGTGCTTCCGGGAGGGGTTTACACAGGCAAACTTTTGGGGGCTGATGAGTGACATTTGGCCCCCAGTTAGGCAGAGAGGACCCTCATCAGAGTTCCTGGGGAATGCATCCTAAACGATGTCTCCATATTGTTCCTTAAGTAGGTCACATCGGCAGGTACCAGGATGTGTTCTAGAGGAGCCGAGTTTTGTGTGTTTTTGTGTAGTTTTGTGTGCACATGCTTTATATGGTCTATACCTTCCAGCCAGAGATGATG